CATTTATTTTTGAACATGTTACGGTACAAGAAATTTTATGTAACAAATAATTACAAAACATAAGAATGGGTGTGAGGTATTTCAGGTACTACCCATGTACGATGTGCATCCTTATTTTTCCCTCAAAAAATTGGGCGAAAAAGTGAAGATTATCAATAGTAAAACAAACTATGATAGTTAGTTCTTTGATAAAGCTATGAAGTACTGAGGCAGAACTGTTAGACTAGTGGAGGTCAGAGATAGGGTGGAAGAGTGGAAAAAATGATGTTCAGGTTATAAAGGAAGGGCAGCATGAAACAAGTCTTAAAAGGTGAGTTGTGTTACTCAACTAAATAAAAAGGAAAGTTTATTTGGACAAGAAGAAAGTGCATGAAAAGGTGAAAAGAAGGAAGAGACAATATAGGTGAAGCAAGAAGCTCAATTTGAATTACATGTTTGTCAGATAGAGAGAAATTAAATTATTTTAAGAAGAGTGTCATGGTGAGATTAGCATTTTATAGTGACAATTATGAAAAAAGTAAAGATGGATTTAAATAGAAAAAAATGGAAATAGGGAAAGATTGATGTGGTTATTGCTGGAAATGAGAGAGACATACAATAAAATGGCCAAATCCAGGATAGTGGTATAAGGGATGGAAAAAAGGGAAAAGAAATATGTCATATCATTAGGTGGGCATGGTAGTTAATATGAAAGTATGGAGAAGTATAGGATGACTCTGGATGCATAATAGTAACTACTTCAATTGGTAAAGGAAGGAGGAAGAGTTTTGGAATGTTAGAAGAAGTCAGTGTTTGGTGTAGTGGGGAGGAGGTGCAGGGAGGTAGATGAGCCTATTTTAGTAATTTTTAATGAGGTTTAGTATGGTCACTCCTCACTTAACAAAACTACTGGGCATCCATGAATTGCAAAATTGGTAACAGGAGGGCTACATGCGCAGACACAAAATCTGGCCTAGTCTGTGACCTATGGTATCTTACTGTCACACTGTCCTCCAAATGTCCCCCTAACCAATGACAGAAACATACTGACAACAGAGTCAGCATGTTTGATGTGTTCAGGAGTAAGGACCAAGGGGGAAGAATATAGAGAGGGGAAAACAGGCTCTGGAGTCCAGCCTGAAAAAAAGCACTTCTTGAACTATTTCAATATGACATCTTCTAGAATTAATTGTTTCTTTAGTTATGATATGTTTAGTGAGATGGCTAATAATTTTATGGCCAAAGTTCATTTTCCCTTAACTCAGTGGCTATTAAAAAACTGTCAACACAAAGATACTTAACAGTTTCTGTTTACTATTTTAATGTGATATTATTTAAAAGGTCATAAAAATTACAATGTATATATTTAAAAAGTTAATTTTAAGCTCTTTAGTTTTTGTTTTTCCTGACATTTGAACTCAAAGTTGGTGAAATTTATAAGTAAATATTATGTTGATGTTTTTCAATTATTTTAGTGTGGTAAAATAAGTTATATAAAATTTTCTATTTTAATTATATTTAAGTACACAGTTCAATGGCATAAACTATATTCACATTGCTGTACAAACACCATTGTCATCTATCTCCAAAACTTATATTACTTTGATTTATTTTAAAAAGTATTAATTTTTATAAGAATCAAAGACCTGCTTATCACCTGCCTTTCCATTTTATATATCCACTTACAGAAAAACAGAATGTCTGCTGTGCTCTAAAATTATATCTAGAGCAATTTCCGCATAAATTGAAGATCAGCTTATGGGTATTTAAATTTGGCAAAGAATTTTAACATTCTACCAATTCTTATGTTCTATAAGAGAAACACTGCGTTATTGAATCAAAGCAAAGAACACGTTTCAGTTAAACCATACCAATGCTCTGACTACTAAACATTCCCTTCAGCTGAGTGAGATTTAAAGTTCAGAACTCCATGTGGCTCGAGGAAATGTGGAGCATGCCAGAATGTGAAATAACAATAATGAGCCATAGTCTAATACGGCTCTTGGCCCACTGTAGGCTGTAATAAATGTTTTATGTGAATAAAAGCATTTACAAGGAGAGAAAATTAAGTGAGTTATGTAGAATGTATTATTAATTTAACAATTGTGTAGATCATGATAATTAATAGGCAAAATGGATGTCCAATTACTAACTGAAAGAAAACAATGAATGTATCATTACAAGTGCTGTGTGAAATAAGCGGAAATTATTCTAAAACATTGAGTAGCTTTTAATAGACATAGACATTTAAAAGCTGGGGAGAAGCATGCGTGATGTACTGAGGGTCAGACTGTGAGGTGGTGGTGTCACGAGGATGGACTGGGGCCTTTGCAGGTTGAGATCCACTGTGGGGAGTAGCCTCAGACAATGCAGACAGGGGAGCCAGGCCACCTATGTGTCCGTTTCTACTCTGCCACTTACTATCTGTGTGGAATCAAGCAAGCTATTTTGCCTTTGGCTACCTCCATACCTTCATCCACAAAATGAAGCCAATCATAAGTTTTTGTGAGAATTAAATGTGTCAAAACAGGTCAAGTGTCTCAACTGTACATGGCACAAACTCAAAGCTTAATAAATGGTAGATATTATCACTATTAATCCTCCAAAATTTAAAACATGGCACAAAAACTAAATTTAACATCTCCCTGAGAAGAGTCCAAAATAGTATAAAGTACTAGTGGAAGGTGTTTGTTTTCATTGTGTTTCATTTAGTCTCTTGTGACACTTTTATGAAAGATGAGAATAGTGCTGTTGTCACCACCACCAACATCCTGTATCACACACCATCAACACGAGCACTGCAACTACCATCACCACCAACAGTGACATCACCTCTACCAGTTCATCATGACACCGTCACTGCCACCACCACCACCGTCACAACTATGATGATCACCATAACCACAGGCTTTACCACTGTTTCCACCAACACAATCATGACCCCTGGTTTCCCAGCACTCTAACCCTAAACCATCACACAACCACTGAGAGCAAGCACCTCCACCAGTTCATTGTGACTTCCACCACCACCACCACCCACAACAACAGCTACAACACTTGTAACTTCCATATGAGTATGAATGTGAACTTAAAAAGTGCCATTGGGAAAATGAACAATAACAGACAAGATGATGTAAGCGTATATATGCTGGCAAGGGGAGGAGCAGGACATATTTAAAAGGTCTTTGGAACTGTGTACAGGAATAGCAAAAGGCATAACAAGTAGCCAGTCTACAGTAATTTTTCACACATGTTTATTTCACACTACTATTACAGAATTAATGTATTTCACATACTTGAGGTTCAAGTAGCTAAAAGGAATATACTGGAAATAAACAAAAAGTCATAGGTATGTGCTGTAGAAAAGGCTGAAATGATGGCTTCTGGGTAAAACCACTAGAAAGGTGCAATTAAAACTTCCCTTTTACATGCTAACCTGTGCTGTTTGGAATCTGTAGCTAAAGTTGTTTAAACTAGTGGTTAAGAGAATGGGCTTTAATCAAAGAGTCCTGGGTTTAAGTTCCACATATGTTGCATATATGACCTTTTTATTCAACCTTCCAAAGCCATAATTTTCTCCACCTGAAAACTGGTGATAACCATTATTTAGAGTTTGTGTAAATATTTAAAAAATACTGATATAACGTGCTATGTCAATTACAGCTCAGTTTAAAAATGCATGTAATACCAGCACTTAACACAATGCTGATACTAATCTGATCTTAAGACTCCTCCTGTTACTTTCTAAACAGTTTCACACCCAGTCTTAAGGTAAGAAGGAACATTGATTCATCTCCTTTCTCATCCCTTATCCCTTACCCCAAGGGAACTCATTAGCAAATTCTTTCTGTTTCAGTTCCAGAATTTAGCTCCCATCCATCCACTTCCCTGCCACTATCTTTGCCTAACCTCAGACTACTCTGATAGATCCTGCCTCCCAGCTGCTAGTCAGAACAATCCATTCTCCACATAGCAGGCAAGGTGAACTTTAAACATGTCAATCAGATGATGCTCAAAGCCTTCAATCGTTTCCTGTTACACTTACAATCAGATGATAACTCTTTACCATCATTTCTCTACATGACCTGACCCCTGTCCAACTTTTCATTTTACCTCTTACCACTGTCCTCCTGCTTCTAGAAGCTTTGGTCATACCATCCTTCTTACTGTTTTTTGTTTTTTTTTAAAAAAACATACTGGCTTTGATTGTTCTTTGGAAAGGGCCTCCAGGTCCATTTCTCTAAAGTAGTATCCTGTATACTCTACCCAGGTCCTCCTTATTATTGTGCCTTGTGTTTCCATAACTCTTGAGATCTGAAGTTATACTTATATGTTGATTTACATTTATTTAATCTATTATTATCAAAAGTAAGACAATTACATTATTGATCATGGTATATTGCTTATCATTCCAGTGTTTTATTATCGATCATGATCATGTTCCTATTCTTAGTGCCAACAGCAGTGCCTAGCATATTTTTAAAATGTAATAAAATATTCATTATGCAAATGGAAATAGAAATTTTGAAGGGTATAAATGCCTGACTTGAATAGTATCTCATTACAGAGAAAACTATAGGGGGAGGTTTTTTAGAGATGGAAGCTCACAGATGCCCAAATGTAGGCAAAAGAACAGATGGGAGACTTTTGTCTGAGGGCCTCAGACAGAATTTTCCCATAAGCCGTTCTGAAATAAGTCCAAGAAAGGTTAAGAGAAACTTTGTCAACGTTTCTTAGTTCCAGAGTATGTAATTGATCTGTGGTATGTAAAGGTTATACTTAGGCTAACACAAACATTCATTCCACAGCTAAATCATCGTCAAGGGCATACAATGCCTAAAACTTGAATACAGTGGCTTCGTCTGATAAATTAGGGAAAAAAATGGTACATGGTGATAGGTCCCAAACTTAACTATTATGCTTATTTGGTTACAGAAGTATGTGGTTAGTTAGCTACAGGAGTGTAGAATACCTAATAAGCAAAAATGAAAGTGTCATTGAATCTTAACTCCTCTACTCACTGTGCACGGGGTCTGCATCCAGGGTTCCCCGTCGATCTGCATCGGCAACGACTTGCTAGTCCTAGGAGAGAATGTTTCCTTTAAGTACAACACTGAAATACTTTACCTAACGGACTACACATGCAAGACATCAGCTGACGGGACCAGGAAATACAAATATGGTAATATCTGGGCTCTAAATTTATCTATTTCTTTTTTTATCAAGCTTTTTTTTTTTAAGATTTTATTTATTTATTTTTAGAGAGGAAAGGGCGGGAGATAGAGAGAGAGAGAGGAACATCAATGTGCGGTTGCTGGGGGTTATGGCCTGCAACCCAGGCATGTACCCTGGCTGGGAATCGAACCTGGGAAACTTTGGTTTCCAGCCCGCGCTCAATCCACTGAACTACGCCAGCCAGGGCTTAAATTTATCTATTTCAAAGGAGTCTTCTACTCTTGTTTATTAATGAATACCCTGAAAGGTACCTTGATCGCCGGGCTGCTAACAGCTTTTTGGTAAATGTGGTGATAGAAACAAAAACTCTGATGTAAAAAAAAAATAAGTAGGGTATATGTTTAATGGAAAAATAAGAGTTCCTATAGCAGGAAGAGGCTCCTTGTTTTCATGCAAACCCACATTGCAAACCTGGAAAAAAAAGTGTTTGACGGCATTTTAGTTCATGAAAGAATTTAAGTTAACAATGTTTCAGCCGTGTTCTCACTGGTTAACTTGTCCAGCAGATACGTCAACACTTCAGTAAACCAAACTGAACAAGACCCAGATCAGAGGGGATGAAAATTGTGTGCTAGAATTGTATCCATGGTCTCAATAAGAGAGTATCAAATCTCAGTAGACCTGATAAGCAATAGCTAACTAAAACTTTGTAAAATCTGCCCATCTGCAGTATTTTAAAATATATCAGTATTAATCATTAATAACTTGAGGCACAAATAAGACAAATGTCATGATGCATCCTGCATACTTTTAATTAGTTTGTAGTTATGCCATGTTACTCCCCCTCTTCAACTACAGAGAAAGAACTACCTGATGACCACAGAGGAGCACTGCGCCAGCCGCCGCCCGGCACTCTTTAGTCCTGTGTATATTTGCCCCATCTCCATGGCTCCTTCCAAGCCAACCACCTCCAGCAGCTGATCGCTCAGATCTGAAAGAAAGCAGAAGCCTTGTAAGTTACAGGGCATAGGCACATGTGTACAATTTAACGGCATCAGATGCGATGGAGCTGCGAAATGAAAGCTGCTACACAAAGAAAGCTTCTCTGTCTTGGATACTGAAAGTAATGAAAAGATGGCCTATTTATGAAACTCTCAGTTTAACTAAACCATGAGGTACTGTGGGAAAAGATTTGCTGTCAGCTTATTCTAAAACAAAATGGGAAGAATGGATTTGGAGCCAAATAATGCCAAAAAATATACCAGTAGTTCTTAACATCAACAAACTTAATGTTATTCCACATGTATGTGTGGCACACTTATACATCCCACATCAGACATTTGGCAGCAGATCCACATTTCAGCACTATAAATAAAGTATGAGGATATGCTGTCAAATATGATTTTGTTAAATTATGCCAGCAAAAGACCTGAGAGATCATGCAATTAAAGTTCTCATTTTAGAGATAAGAAGACTGAGTCTAAATCATTGAGTGACTTGTCCAGAGTCATAGGTAACTCTGTGCAGAAGTTCAAGAAACAATATTAATTTATTGGAATGTTTTTTAAATGAAAGGTATATGTTGTGAAAATACTGTTTGGGGGTAGGCTAGATAGCACAGTGAAATAATGTTTTTTTTTTACTTAGTGATTTGAGAGAGAGAGAGAGAGAGAGACATTGATTTGTTGTTCCACTTATTTATGCATTCATGGGTTTCTTCTTGCATGTGGCCTGACCTGGGATTGAACTCGAAACCTTGGTATATTGGGACAATGCTCTATCCAACTGAGCTACCCAGCCAGGGCTCATTTTTTTTTTTTCCTTTAACAGAGGACAGCATAAAGAGGTAATAATAACAGACATTGTTTGTTGCATGTTTACTAAGTGCCTGTCACAGGAGTAATCATTTTTATATATCATCTCATTTGTTCCACCTGAAACCATTTTAACACAAATAAGAGTATTCCCATTTATAGACAGAGAAGCCTGAAAATTAAAGAAGTTAACTAATTTATTCATATGCACATACCTGAAGTGACAGAGCCAAAGTTTGAACCCAAACACTTTGATGCATAACCAATCTGCTATGTTTGATAAATCAGCCATATTGAAAGAGAGACTTCAAAAATAATAGAAATGTTTCTTACACAGGAAGGGAGGTTGGGTAGGACTTTTTACTCAGCCAGAAATCAAAGGTTGCACTTCCATGAGTAGAATCCCATAGAAGACCATCAGCTTACCATTGAGCTCAGAATGCTTGAACCTTTGTTTGGAGGCAAAATTCTGGGTGCACATATGTGGTCCTTTTATTTTAATATTCTCATGCATTTTAAAATGTAAATACATAGTTTAATACCGTTTTAGTCACAGAAAAAGCTAGAGGTTGTGCCACAGAGTGGGCAGGTATGATGAGTGTACAGAGTTATCATGTAATAGCTGGTCGTAGTTGAAGTTCTACTTGAAGAAAAAAAAGCAAATCTATTTCAGATGGACTCCAGTTTGCATGGCAAACCTTCATTTGCCACTAATAAATCCATTTTAGCGTGAAGTTCCGAGACATAGATGACACCTTTTCAGTGTAGCTCAAGTGTGTGGCAAAGCACTTTGAAATCCCAAGGTTTGTTAGGTTTATGGTCACCAGAAAATTTAATATAAACCCTTAAAATAGAAAGTGTGACCAAGTATTTTTTAAGCAAACCGATAAAAAAATCTGTTTTTTTAAACTTTAAGTTATAGCTGCAGCATGAGATTTTTCTAAGTAAAAACAGCCTTCTAGCCACAAAGTCAAATGTTAACAAGTCGTAATAACTTAGAGCATTCACCTTGCTGTTTGAAACTCTATTTAGACTTATTCCTCATGAAACTTATTCTGTGTTTCTAGTTTAAATTTATGTCGCCAAGAACAGATGGACAGGAATGGAAACATATTCTTTCAGCTGTAGCAGGCACGAAAATTTGCTTGGCTCTATAGAGCCTGGGTGTTAATATACGCATTTCTTAGATATGTCAACCAGAAATCTGCACTGTGGCAAGCACTAAAACCCCAGATGTGTGTCTGGTGATATTTATAAAACAACCGCTACAACAACAACATTGAAGTTCATATTTAGTATTATATTTTTGCGCTGCCTGATTCTTAAATACAGGGTCTGGCAGAAGTAATGCCTGCTTGAGTGTGGTTGGTAGGGTAATAATATGGGTATAATAATTTATAGTTTCAATTTGAACATTTCACCTAAAATGTCAGATGGTGGGCTTGAGTGTGATATTGTTATGTTACAGAATTACATGCTTATGATTTTGTAATAAAAGATTTTGTAATAAAAAAGGGGCATTTGTGCTGGACCCTGTAGGTGAAATATCATGCAAATTTTTGTAATGATCTGGTTGATGGGAACTGTTCTACAAGAGATGAAAGACTTTTTCACAACGAGTTAATCTCTGAGCCCTAACTTTTCGATGAATCACAGGGATCGTCTACACCCACACCATATTGCTGCAGTCTACCACCCTCCTTCTGATTTTTTTCTCTCTTTTAATTTGTCTTTGATTTTTATCCCAGAAAACATGCCCTGATACTCAATCCTGTCATTAATGATTATTATGAAGATAATAATCCAGATATTTCTTATGGATTTAGAAGACGTAGGCTTTCAATCTTTCATGTTCTTGCAAACACAAAGAATTGCATAGAAGTGAAATATTTACTAACTCTGATAAAGGTAAATAAATACCATTTCCTTTTAATTATGTGTTCAGAAAAAAATGGAAAAAAGCTCTAAATTTGTGCTGCATTTCTTTTCTCCCACTGCAGTTTCGCTTTCTAAAATACAACAGACTGCAATGTCTGTGTACAACTGATACCCAGTACATATTGTCTTTGAGATCAGGGTCCTGGTTGATGTCAGACTAAGATAGTTTCTATCTATATAACTGAACTCTGTTTCTATATGTGGTTACATTCAAAACATCAAGGGCTTTCTCACCTCACATCTAGCTAAAATTTATTTTAAGTTCAGGACTGCTTGCAATGTCATAAGCAACCAGATGAACCTACCTAATTAGTTTGTCACCTGGCTATTGATTTCAGAGTTGAGAGTAGGAGTAGCAAACTACACAGCCTGTGGACCCAGTCTGGCCCAATGCCTATTTTTGTATGGCCTGTGAGCTAAAAATGTTTTTTAAAGAGTAATATAGTGTAGCATCTGAAGATTATGTAAAATTCAAATTTCAGTATTCATAAATTAGTTTTTATTGGAACGCAGCCACACTTACTCGTTTTAGGTCTTGTCTGTATCTGCTTTCACACTACAATGGCAGAGTAGTTGCCACAGAGACCATACGGCTTGCAAAGCCTAAAATATTGACTATCTGGACCTTTAGAGAACAAAGTGCCCACCTCTGCTTAGGAGAAACATTAACGCTTTCAGGCCAATGAGGTTTCAGTTTAGCATGGCCACCATAACTGCTACCTGGCATTCTAGTGGCCTGAAGGAACAAATTCCTCCGTGTATTGTATCTCTGCATAGAATAGGTATTCTCAACCACGGAGCCTCACGACACTCATATCCTGTGAGGTTTTTCACAATCAGGTTGTTATTAGTCATGAAATACCCACATTTCCATCAGCTTTATGACAAAAGAAACTAGAGCAGCTTAACGTTCAACATTAAACTCAGTCATTGCATCCTGGGTGGCTTTCTTGAGTGTGAGAAAAAGTAGAGTTATAGGCAGGAAGGCAGAAGTTGCATCCAGACCTGAACCTCCAGGTGAGGGTCAGCTCCAAATGTGTGAGTCATGTACCAAGTATCGAGAAATCCAACATCTTGATATTCTCAATTGTTCATCTACCCTGAGGAAGACACTGCTTTGGTTCAGAGAAAAACAGTACTTTTCTGGAAGAGTTTCCCATGGCTTCACAGGGGTAACAGAGGCAAGAGAATCTTCCAAATTTGGTATTTTCATATTTAAAATGAAAAGCAATAGGTGCTTAAGAAGGAAGAAACTTTATGAAATAACTCAAATTGGGTCATATTAGAGCACGATTCTCAACATAGGGTCAGTGACTCCGAATGCAGAAAAACACAACTTTGTTTATACTAAGATGCAGTTGAAGATAAGTACCTTTTTCAAGCACAAATTTAGGAAAGAAATCCTAGTTGTAATACAAACCAACCTGCGACTTTGTCCATGACAGATATGTCTATATCATAGCAATTCTCAAACCTTTTCATCTCCTGGAACACACAACTAATCACTAAATTCTGTGGCACACTAAAAATAAATGTTTTGCAGATCTATTTCTATAGGTATAATTTGTATTGATCTACTACTACTACTAATAATAATTACCCACACTTTTGGCTTCAAAGTGACTTTAAAAAATCAGGTCCCTATACTTGTACAAAGGAATTTCAGTTACCAAGAATTAACCAACCAGACTCAACCTAATAATGTGACATGACCAAGAAGATGCAGCTCTATTCCATGACTTATATATTTATGGTTCAAGACAAGGCATTCACACCAGATAGCTACCGTTGCACTGGCTGTTCTCGTTTTCTTATTTGACAATCTAAGGGAAAAGAGATCAGTGTTCCTGACTAAATCGTCAGGACTTGCATGTTTTAAAAATTCTTGTGGCACACCTGTTAAAAATCACTGCCCTTTCACATTATAGTTGTTGAAGTTTTTCAATAAGCTATTTATACTATCATTTTTCAATTTTAATACTTATTGATCCTCTGTTAGAGTTTTTTTAAAGCCTCACCCAAGGGCATCCTTACTGATTTTAGAGGGGGAAGGGAGGGAGAGAGAGAAAGAGGGAAATATTTAGGTAAGAGAAACATGGATCAGTTGCTTCTCACCTGTGCCCTGACCAGGACTGAACCAGCAATCAAAGCATGTGCCCTGACTGGGAATTGAACTCACAATGTTTTAGTTACGGGATGCTGCTCCAAATAACTGAGCCACTCTGGCCAGGGATCTTCT